ATGCCATTATAGATAATACCTAGTAAATGCACTCCTATTTGGTACCCTCCTAGGCGTCCCTTAATGTTTATTACTTTGTGAGACATCTTTTACAAGAATGGCTTTTGTGTTCTACTTAATATGTTATAACACAGTCTACCAAGTTCTGTCTTTGTAATAGTTGAAGAAAATAGCCACAAATATTTATTTGCAAAGTTTTGCCAATTATAGATCCTTTTGAGACATGAAGTCTTTAAGTTTGTAAAAATGAAACGGAGAGCTTTTCATATCATATATGTACATTGTTTATATTGCTATTTTTTTCCTAGGTGAGGAAAACAAGTCAGGCAGCTTTGTTGGCTCTGCTGGAGCAGGAGCTTATTGAGCGATTTGATGTGGAGACCAGAGTATGTCCTGTCCTCATAGAGCTGACTGCGCCAGATAGCAACGATGATGTGAAAACAGAAGCTGTGGCTGTAAGTGGAATGCTGTTTTTCCATTCAGGCAAAACTAGACTGATAGGAGGTGCTCACTAAAGGTTAAGTTGGCTTATTTTGTTTAGTATGTGTCTATAAAAGTAGCTACAAATCATTACATTTGAAACATAATCAGGCCTAGTAAGGTGCATAAGGGCTTGCAAAAGAAAAGTGTATTTTCACACAATAAGAAAATAATGAGTAACTAAATCCATTATGTCAAAGTGGAGAAATAAAATGGTCACTATCAGTGCACTTAAAAACAAAATAAAAATCCCTGTATTGGCTCCTGCCCTTGACAGTAGTCTTCGGGGGAGAGATAGTCAGCCAAGTACTTTTACTATGATATATGATATTAATGACGATTATTAGAAGAATATACAGATTGTTAAGTCATTATGCACCTAATAAAGTCAAGTGTAATACTAAATTTTGGGGTTTTTGGACATGGTTTGCAAATATTCTGAATACTTGAGAATCATCATAGTTACAACATGAGTTAGACTACACTAATATCTGTTGTGATTCACATCTGTGGTTCCTGAGTTCAGGTAGTAAGAATTCTGATGGTATATTGGTAAATTCATCAGAAAATATATTCAAATCTAAACTAAAGTGATATAGTTACATTTTTGTTGATATAAAAAAAATTACACCAAAATTTTTTACTTTTTCTAGATCATCATTAATGAGATGAATTAGATGATCTCTCTAGTCTCTTTCCCTTGAAAAACTTTCTTTTCTTTTCTTTTTTCGAGTTAGAGTCTTACTCTGTCACCCAGGCTGGAGTACAGTGACATGACCATGACTACCACAGCCTCGACTTGCTGGGCTCAGGCAATCCTTTTGTCTCAGCCTTCTAAGTAGCTGGAACCACAGGCTCATGCTACCATATCTGACTTATTTTTTTCTTATTTTTGTAGCGAACAGGTCTCACTATGTTGCCTAGGCTTGTCTCAAACTTATGGGTTCAAGCGATTCTCTTGCTCCAGTCTTCTAAAGCGGTGGGACTACTAATTGTAAAGAGTATAAATTATTGGCATTTAATACATTCACAGTATTGCATGTCTATCACTTCTGACTAGTTCCAGAACATATATATGTCTTTTTTAATTTCAGGAATTCCTCAATAAAGGAAATCAGTTTTGGCCTTGGCATAATTGTTCGTTTATATTGAGCAGAGTCTAACTTGCCCTATTGTAATTCTTGATGAAATGTAGAATTAGTAAAATATTATAATAAAAAGACTCTATTCAGTGCTAGTAGGAATCCCCATTCGCTTACAATTAGTTTGAGGTGTTATTGTTGTTTTTTTTTGTCATATTTTATACTCCCTGGGTCCTACCTTTTTTTCTATCTTGGGAGTAATTCATTCTAGTACACTTAATTATTGCTGCATCAGCGTAGAATAGTGTAACTTTGGATCACTAACTGGGGCTTCGAGATGCTTATTCTTATTAATTAGGAGAGGCATTAACTTCAATTTTGATGATGCTGGGATTTTGATAGGAATTGTTCTAAATCTACATATCAACTTGATGAGAATTGCCAGTGTTACGATCCATGAACATGGTAGATCTCTCCATTTAGTTAGGTCTTTGATTTATATCATCAATATTTTGTACTTTTCAGCAGAAAGATCTCATGTATTTTATTAGAAATAATATTTTAAAAAAACTATTGTGAATAATACTGTTTTTAAATGTTTCTAGTTGTTCATTGCTAATTTATAGAACCCAGTAGATATTAATATTCAGATATATATCCTGTATCCTTCCTAAACCCTCTTATTTGTTCTGGTGGCTTCTTTGTAAATACCTTGTGATTTTCTATGTATATAACCATGTCATAAATGAATAGAGAGAATTTTTCTTTCTAATCTGTATGCCTTTTACTTCTTTATCTTGTCATATTTACATAGTCTAGCAATAGATATAATTGATAAATGATGATAGACTGTGTGATTTCTTTTTATATTAACTGTAGTAGAATGTATTTAAATAATAGAGGGCTAGTTTTCAAATAAACTTAATCCTTACTTTACTTGGTGCTGTTTTAAATGGAACATGTTCATATCAGAACTGTGTCCTTGCTTTCATTCCTTAGAACCGTAGCTTTGCACAACCAGGATATGGTTCTCATATGCATGAAATTCAGTTAATACAGTACTTTGCGAGGCGAGGGCTTGTTTTGCATAGTGTTTTCTGAGTAGTACAGATATGCTAAATCACATCCTTTTTAGGAATAATCTTTCCTTTTGAACAGTTGCCATTTATTTTTTACTGGGGAAAATGTAGGGTTTTGCTTTGTTTGCTTTCAAAGTTAGCAGGCAAAATGACTTTGAAATAAGATGAAAACTATGGACAACAGTGAATTTTATTATTTCTGTGGGTTTATAGTGTACTTAGTATATATGGATTGATTTTGGTTTTTTTTTTTTTTTTTTAGTTGGAGTCTCACTCTGTCACCCAGTCTGGAGTGCAGTGGCTGCTCCCGGCCACCGCAGCCTCGACCTGCTGGGCTCTGGTGATCCTTACGCCTCAGCCTTCCAAGTAGCCAAAAGTACAGGCATGCGCTACCACGCCTGGCTGATTTTGTGATTTATTGTAGAGATGAGGTTTCGCTGCCCAGGCGGGTCTCGAACCCGCGGGCTCAGGCAGTCCACTCACCTCAGCCTCCCAAAGGCACGGGATTACAGGCTGAGCCACTGAGCCCGGCTTGATTTTGTTTTGTTGAGAGTAGTTAATATCTATTTTTCTTTTTTCTACTTGGGTAAATAAGATGAAATTAACAGTTGGCTGTGGATGTTTTCTGTGATGTATGCAGGATAATGATGTCAGACATTTCTTTAAATACTTTTATTAAGTTAATAAATTTAACTGAAATAGTTTTACTCTAAAGATATTTTCTGTGTGCTTTTGTTCTTATTTTAGATCATGTGCAAAATGGCTCCCATGGTTGGGAAAGATATTACAGAGCGTCTCATCCTCCCTAGGTTTTGTGAGATGTGTTGTGATTGCAGAATGTTTCATGTTCGAAAGGTAATTTTTATAGTCAGTTTTTTCTCTGTTGTTAATGTACTAATATGTGAAATTTAAAAGATTACTTTCAAAGAACTGTCTATATAATATTTTGAAATGTCAGTGATGCTTTTATTTTCAGGTCTGTGCTGCCAATTTTGGAGACATTTGCAGTGTAGTTGGCCAGCAAGCTACTGAAGAAATGTTGGTAAGTATTGCAAATATAAAAGAGTAAGCAAAGTACATAAAGTTTGAAATGCATATATTTACCTCAAAATTTTATTAACACAACCTCACGAATAAAACAGATAGGTAGCAATAAACCAGAAAGACGTGAAAGGTAGTAAGAAACCAGAAAGACACGAATAAACCAGAAAGGTAGTAATAACTTTGAATTTAGCAATTTAAATTTCTGTAATCTGGGCACTTGAATTATGTTTTCATAAAGACAGTTTATTAAAAATACAGGTATGGGCCAGGCGAGTGGCTAATGCTGGTAATCCCAGTGCTTTGGGAGGCTGAGGCCAGTGGATTGCTTCAGCCCAGGAGTTTGAGGTATAGTGAGTTATGATCATATCATTTTATTTCAGCCTGGGCAACAGAGCAAGACCTTGTCTCTTAAAAAAAACAACAAAAACAAAACATGGCCAGGTGCAGTTGCGGCTCACGTCTGTAATCCTACCACTCTGGGAAGCCAAGGTGGGAGGATTGCTTGAACCCAGGATTGCTTGAACCCAGGTGCAGTTGCGGCTCACGTCTGTAATCCTACCACTCTGGGAAGCCAAGGTGGGAGGATTGCTTGAACCCAGGATTGCTTGAACCCAGGTGCAGTTGCGGCTCACGTCTGTAATCCTACCACTCTGGGAAGCCAGGGTGGGAGGATTGTTTGTACAAAGTGATACATCATCCCTACCAAAAAAAAAAATGAGCTGGGTTTGATGGCACCTACCTGTAGTCCCAATTATGTGGGAGGTTGAGGCAGAAGTATTGCTTGAGCCCAGGAGGTCGAGGCTGTGGTGAGCCATGATCATGCCACTGAGCTTCTAGCCTGAGTGATAAAGTGAGGCCCCCAACTCAAAAAACAGAAATCAGGTATGTGTCAGAACCATTGATCTGTTTTTACCTCCTCCATTTCTATTAAGTCAGTTAGTTCTTCTTTATTCAATTGGATCTTTAATTATATTGTAACTCTCAAGTATTATGGTAGCATATTTAATTTATAAAACAGGTTAGTTTAAAATAGTACATGGACAGTGTTACAGTTCTTTTATAATTTGTCTAGCAGGCTCTCTGGACTATGTCGGAAAGCCCCTACCACCCCCTCAAAAAATAGTGTATATATGTGCTTGATGTACAAATTAACATACTGACAGAGTTTCTGAAACCATTTGTTATACAAAATAATTAAGATCAGATTAGTTACAAACTTTTGGATAACATTTGAGCTATATTTCTTGGGAGTGTTTTTGCTTTTGCTTATTCAATTAGGTTATGAATTAGATGTAATTTATTAAAAATTGCTGTTTATTAATATTAAGGTCTTCTCCTTCTTCAGAAAATCCAATATGTAAAACACCATGAAAGATAAGTGTCTATTGAAATGCACTCTTTGTCTGACTAATACAACCCTTTTCTTGCTTAGCTGCCCAGGTTTTTCCAGTTGTGTTCAGATAACGTGTGGGGAGTCCGGAAGGCTTGTGCTGAATGCTTCATGGCGGTTTCATGTGCAACATGTCAAGAAATCCGACGGACAAAATTATCAGCACTATTTATTAATTTGATCAGTGATCCTTCACGTTGGGTAGGGCTTTATTATCTCTTCATAAAATATACATTTGAGTCTGTTTTAAAGCAAACATAATTTTGACTTCATAATGAAGAAATCATGTATAATTTAAGATAAGCTATTTTTCATAATTTCAGTAGTAGATAATAGAAAGACTACTATTGGCCGGGCACAGTGGCTTACACCTGTAATCTCAGCACTTTGGGAGGCCGAGGTGGGAGAATTGCTTGAACCCAAGAGTTCAAGACAAACCTAGGCAACATAGTGAGACCTCATCTCTACAAAAAGTAATAAAACAGTTAGCTGGACGTGGTAATGCATACCTGTTGGGAGGCTGAGGCAGAAGGATCACCTGAGCCCAGGAAGTCCAGGCTGTGGTGAGCCATGATCATGCCATTATACTCCAGAGTTGGTGACAGAGTGAGACCCTAACTCAAAAAAAAAACAAAACAAAAAACACTACTATTAATAGTTTGGTTTTTTGTAACTGGAAAAAAGTTATTTGCAAATATAAAGCCTTTTGATTTTTATCTTATTAGCACGCTATATATAATGTTAGTTCAGTTTTAGATGTTAAACCAACCTTGCATCTTTGGAATAAGTTCTGTTTGGTCATATTGTATGAATCTTTTTACATGTTGCTGGATTCAGTTTGCCAGTATTTTATTGAAGGTTTTTATGTCCATATTGTAAGAGATATTGGTCTTTAGTTTTCTTATGATGACTTTGCCTGAGTTTTCTTTTTTTAAAATCAAAGTTAATTATGGCCTCATAAAATGAGCTGGTAAGTGTTCCCTCTTTTGTTTTTTTGAAGAATTTGTGAAGAATTGGTATTGATTCTCCTTTAAATGTTTGGTGGAATCAGCCGGGCGTGGTAGCGCGCGCCTGTAGTTCCGGCTACTCGGAAGGCTGAGGTGGAAGGATCACCGGAGCCCCCAAAAATAAAAATAAATGTTTGGTGGAATTCAGCAGTGAAGCCATCTCAGCCTGGACTTGGCTTTGTGAGAAGATAGTTTTTAAATTACTAATTCAATCTATTCACTGTCTATTTCTTCTTGAGTCTGTCTCACTATTTTGTGTCTTTCTAGGAATTTTTACATTTCAACTACATTATCTAATTTGTTGGTATACTTATTCATAGTGTTTTTAAATAATCTTTTTCTTTTTGCAATGTCAATAGTAATGCCCCCTTTTAAATTTCTGATTTGTATCTTTTCTCTGTTTCTTGGCCAGTCTGCTGGTTTGTCAATTTTGTTGATCTTTTTATAAAACCAGCTTTTGGTTTCAATTATCTTTATCTATTTTTCTATTGTCATATTAACTACTATCCTAATTTTTGTTATAAGCATACTTTTATTATACATTTTTATTCTAAACTCCCTTTTGCTTGCTTTTGGTTTAATTTGCTTTTATTTTTCCAGTGTCTTTAGGTAGAAGGTTAGATTATTGACTTGAGGTTTTTCTTTTTTCTTTGAATTACCTTCTGGGATTACTGGCTTTCAACCTGAAGAACTTCCTTTAGTATTTCTGGTAATATAGGTCTGCTAGTAACAGATTCTCAGTTTTTGTTTTTCTATGAATGTCTTCATTTTGCTTTCTTTCTTTTTTTTCTTTTTGAGTTGGAGTCTTACTCTGTCAACCAGGGTGGAGTGCAGTTGCATAGTCATGGCTACTGCAGCCTCAGCTGCTGGGCTCAGGCAATCCTTCTGCCTCAGCCTTCCAAGTAGCTGGAACTACATACACATGCCACTACGTCTGGCTAATTTTTTGACTTATTGTAGAGATGAGTTCTTGCCAGGTTTTCCAAGCTGGTCTTGAACCCCTGTACTCAGGCATTTTCCTCTTGCCTCCTCCTAGCAGCATGCTGGGATTATAGGTGTGAGCCACTGCACCTGGCCTTGCTTTCAATTTTGAAAAATGGCTTTGCTGAATGTGAGGTTTTTGATTGATGGTTTTTTCCTCTGAGCACTTTTATTTTTATTTTTTTGAGTTGAAGTCTCACTCTGTCACCCAGACTGGAGTGCAGTGGCACGCTCCTGGCCACTGCAGCCT